TTCTGCCAAAACTACTATTCGTGGACTTACAGAATGCCTCATCCACCGGCATGGCATCCCACATAGCATTGCTTCAGATCAAGGAACTCACTTCACAGCAAATGCAGTGCGGCAATGGGCCCATTCCCATGGAATCCACTGGTCCTATCATGTTCCTCATCATCCTGAAGCTGTTGGCTTGATAGAACAATGGAATGGGCTCCTAAAGACACAATTACAGCGCCAACTAGGTGGCAACAACTTGCGGGGCTGGGGTAATGTTCTCCAGGAAGCAGTATATACTCTAAACCTGCAGCCAATATATGGTACTGTGTGTCCAATAGCCAGAATTCATGGGTCCAGGAATCAAGGGGTGGAAGCTGCGGTGGCACCACTCACTATTACTCCTAGTGATCCACTTGCAGCATTTTTGCTTCCTGTCCCAGCAACCCTGTGCTCCTCAGACCTGGAGGAGGTCCTGGTCCTGAAGGAAGGAATTCTCCCACCCAGAAGCACAGCACGGATTTCCCTGAACTGGCAGCTGAGAATGCCCTCTGGCCACTTTGGGCTTCTCATGCCTTCGGATCAACAGGTCAGGAAGGGTGTCACTGTACTGAGTGGTGTGACTGATCCTGATTACCAAGGAGAAATTGGACTGGTCCTACATAGTGGAGGTAAAGAAGAATATGTCTGGAATCCAGGAGATCCCATAGCCATCTCTTAGTGCTATCATGCTCCGTGATTAAAATAAATGGTAAGGTACAGCAACCTAATCCTGACAGGACATATAATGACCTGGAATGAAGATCTGGGTCACCCCACCAGGCCAAAAATCACAGCCAGCTGAGGTCCTTGCTGAAGGCAAAGGTAATACAGAATGGGTAGTAGAAGAAGGTAGTTCTACTATCAGTTACAACCACGTGATCAACTGCAAAAGCAAGGTTTGTAATTCTCAGTGTATTTTCTTTATATGTGCTTATTCAATATCTTCCCTTTGTTCATGCATGATATATCAGATACAATTGAACTCAGTGTGTTTTCATTTATATGTATGATAGACATTTGATGATAAGTATAAGTGTGATTTCATTAATGTCCGGAAATTATATATGGCAAAGGAATTGTGTAGAGGTCCCAAGTTGGCAAGGGGTGGATTGAAGTAGTTAGTTGATTGTGCCAACCTGGCCGATAAACACATGTGAGATTAATTGAAGGACGGTGGAGAGATAAATGGCTCAGCAAGCCTTCCCTTTCTTGTCTCTTGCTCTTTGATCATCGGACCAGTGTGCCATTGCCTTGCTTGTTCTTTGCCTCAGTTTGCAAGCTACAGTACCTGTGGGACACCTAACCCGTAAACTGTGTCTCTGTAATTTGAGGTTCCTTCAAGACCTGCTTTGCCACACCATTGGAATTTACATCTCTTGAGCTGGGGACTGTCAGACTCTGTCATCTGGCTGACTGTTGGTGACCTGTCTTGCTGTTTGCTGCCTCTGCCCAGATAGCCTGAATTGCTCTACAGAGGACTGAGTTCCTAGCGGCCCTCAAGACTTGAAGGACTGCTGTGTCTCACAGCTGTCTCACAGGAGTGAGTTGCACTGAGCCATTTGTACTGTTTTATAATTTAATTAACTTTTTATTTCTTATCTTATATATTTATCTGTATAAAAATATATAAAATTATTAGCTCTCTGGTTTTGTTTTTCTAGGGAACCCTGTCTAACACAGTGCCCTTGATGGCCCTTGACTAGCCCCAGAATAAAGTTCATGTTTCCTAATGTGACCTGCAAAACCATCTATAGCCTGGTCCTTGCCTACCAGTCTCATGCCCCATGTCGCCCACCCCCTGCTTTTTCCACCTTTCCACATGCAATTGTGCTCCCCCATCTTTCTTTTTTTACTTCTTCGTAAAAAGGAGGTGTGGGGAACAGAAGGATTTCTCTCAAGCTGTCTCCCCACAAAATATGTACCAGACTTAGCTGCTTGCGAATGACTGTACACTAGGCGGTCAGCAAAAGTAGGTCAGAGGTTATTCTCCTTAACATCAGTCATCTAGAGCAACCAGACTGTATAGTCTGGCTCACCCTAAGTAGGGCCCAGTCCCTTCTGCTATTGATCCCTTGAAGCAGTGCCCAAAGGCAAGCCTTGGACCACTCTAAGATGTCTAAGCTCATGGAGTGCAGGGTCCACCCATCTTGCCACACATGCTCCCCAATTCCCTCCTCTTACTATTGCGCATTCACCCCTAGGTCATCCCCCTCCTATTACTTGTATTGCCTATGTTGCAACCCCTCCCTATGATGCAGGTTGTTGTGAATTGTATTGCCCCTTTCTGTGATGTATGATTCTGTAATCAGATCCCCCTAAAGTGATATGATGCGTGGTTAGCAATAAATAAGGAGGCTCCCTGGTTCTTGGGAGGGAGGAGGGCGGCTGCTCCCATGAGGGAGGCAGCTCCTGCTCTGGTGGCCGGGTTCCCCTCATGAGGACCACCAAGCGGGGCGGAAGTGAGCAATGCTACCATGTAAATGTCTGACTGTATTACTGTAATATCTCTCATGCTCTCGATGACTTTAATATAATACTTATATGTCTCAACCATACAATTGTGCTTACTGAACCTGTGGGTACTAGTAGTAGCGGTGGGGGCTGGCCCCTCACCCCCACATATTTAATTTAATACTACACGGAGGTATCATTTAAATACAGTGCAATTCACTTTTTCTATATACTTGTGTCCTCACTTCCACTGCTATCAAGATGAAGGTTCCATCATCCCAAGAAACTTTCTCATGTCCCTTTGTGGCCCATGCTATCTTCCATCCCAGCTTCTGCCAACACCCATCATCTCACTTGGGAAAACACCTCTGAGTGGGCTTGTTGCATATGCATAGAGAACAGAGAAAATGAACGCAATGGAAGAGAGTGTCTTCTCAGGAGCAGCGTCTGACATTACTGAAAGATTGAGGACTATGGTGTGTCTATTTTTCAGGCTTGGACAGTGTCTACACTGAGCAGTGAGTAGTGTCCACTGTGCATGCAGCAATTTCCCTTGTAGGCATTTCCCCCAGAGCCTTCCCTCATCAGTACACTAATGAAATGCCTCTCCTCGGCAGCTCCATGATACCTAACACTTATCTCCATCTTCACCTTAACCCACTAAACTGACATTGCTTTACTGTCCCTTCCCCAATCACAACCCTGACCGCCCTCGTCTTTTCCTAAACCTTTTCTTGGGAATTGAGCCAAGGGTTGTCGAGCAGATCATCAGTTTTACATGGAACAATTCCTTCACAGTTGGCTTCCTCTCATTCATTGCAATTCCCTTGGTGCACCCTCACTGACCTCACTGCCCCCTGGGTTTTCTGTTTCCGTTTCTCCTGCTGTACTGACCCTTCTAAACTTTGTCCTGGGGTAAATGCCACCCTTTGGATCACAAACAGTTGATTTTACTAAGGTGTATATATCTCATTACTACCACAGGTGGGTCACCTGAGTTAACATTTACCTGTCCTTTAGCATGACTTCCCTTCTCTTCCCATCCCTGGTAACCACCCAAGAATTTTTTTTTTTTTTAGCATGACAATCCTTTCTTGACTTTTTTACAACAGTGGCTTCATACAGTATTTGCCCTTTTGTGATTGACTAATTTCAGTCAGCCTTGTGTGCTCCACGTTCATCCATGTAATGAGGTGTTTCACAGATTCCTGTTTTGAAATAATCTGATGTGCACGTGCCAAAGTGTATTTATCCAATCGTCCATTGATGTGCATCTAAGTCTCCATCTTCTTGCTCTTATGACTCGTGCTCAGCTGAACATGGGTGTGGAATCTATTTGTGCATTTCTCTAGGATAG